CTGAACTGTGTCTCGCTATAATTCTCCTCTAGCCTTTGGTATATTCTCTTATGTATTACTTTCAGCAGTACTTTTAAAGCATGACTCATGAGGCTCAGTGTTCGATAATCAGCGCACTATTTTGCTGCTTATGTTTTAGGGATAGTTATAAATGCTGACTTCAGCCACTCTTGTGGTATTATTGGTGTATCGTACACCGTGTTGAATAAATCTGCCAATACTTTCAAGTTATCCTCTTCCACTAATTTTTATAGTTCTGATATTTAAACAAACCGACCATGGTACAACTATTATAAAACCTTGTTATCTTTCCATTTAAAACGTTTATAAAAACTTTATTTTTTTTTTAAAGTTTCCACAAAGCTAGCAAGAGCAACACAAAAGAAGTAACTGTGCTCCCGTAATATATTTTTGTTAAATTTGTGGTAAAAGCTATATTATTACACTCGACGTTTCAAATAATTTATTCATTTGTACAAGTCCAATACCAAACGTTATTGTACTTTTCTAATCTAAAAGTTCAAAGGCGAGTTACTTTCTTTACTACTTCGGTGCATTTTTATTGTTTCAATTTTATGTTTATTGAGAATATCTACACCGTAGTTTCCGGTAAAGTAATTTTATTGCTTGTATTCTCCTTTTCAAGGCTTCCAACTTTACATTGAGTATATACTGCACTCCAAAATTTATTACGGTCCGTGGTATTGACTGCCTATTTACCTTATTAGGGGGAATGGGGCCCAAAAGAGTCAACAAGGTATTTAAAAAATATTTTAAATATTTTTGATACGCTGATTTCAAAAATGTCTTTCTGTTTTTTTCGTATCTTTCATATTTTTTTTTAAGTCGGTTGTATAGTTTTAATAAAATGTTAGAATAGTTTTGTTCTAAAAAAATTTTCTTGTGGCATTCTAAAGTAATTACTATTTAAATGGGAATAAGCCACAATTAAAAGTTAAAGGTTCGGAAATTGTTCTCACAATATAAAAATTAGTAAATTAAACAAATTTTGTTTTTTTGTTACTTGGTGAAAAAATTCTTTTAATAATTTAATTTCATATGACTCATTTATATTGACAATTCAGAAATACGTTATACATTTTAAAGTAGACGTCTTTAAAATAATATTGAAAATATTGTTGAGTTGCGTTCCTGGGACGACTTTACCTGTAAGATAGTTCATTCGATTACACGAAATAAACTTTAACTTAAGATTATCCGTCAGAAAAAATCATAGAATGTAATTCGTCTTTAAAAAGACAAACACATGCCATGATGACATTGAAACTCTCCTGTTAGTGATTATGTAGTAAATTTTGAGGAAAAAACCAGGAAAAAAACGTTGTATGTTTGTTGTAACATTTATATGTTTGTTATTAAAAAAAAAAAAAAAAACATAAATGATGTATCCTCTATACGTTACTGACTTACTAATACTGGTATTTTCCTTTTAATAAATTACTCTTTGTATGGATAACCAGATCCTACTACATTCTACCAGGAATTTGCGACACAATTGGTCTCATTTAGCATAATTAGAGCCGCTGTTTTGATTTTTCTCTTTTTACCATCCGTTTCTTTAAGGACTATATTAGAATCATTCTATTGAACCTTATGTTTATTATCCCATGCGTGTTTACATACTTGGGACTATTAAATTTTCTATTTTTAAAATAAGATTGATGTTTACTTATTCTAACATTTATAGTCCTTTTCCATCATATTGATAGCACATTATGTATGCAAATCCTCAACAGGTCAAAAAACCATAGGCGTCACCCTATGCTTGTTTTGAAATAAATAAAAAAATTAATATTCATTTTCTTTTAAAAAATCTTCTATAAAATAAGTGTCCACTAATCTCACTATACCTTTTTTGTGCGTAAAAAACGTCGGTATATACACGATTATTGTTAATTATACACGGGTGATTAACGAGAGAATTCAATGTTTCACGAAATAAATTAATGTTAACAGTAATTTAAAGGTGATTATAGTTTTCTATACAAGTTATCGCCTGACACAAAAAGAATACCTTCTTTGAACGATTACCTGGAATTACTAATAAGGCTTCACTAATGATAGTTTAAGTAGTTTTTATGCCACATTACAGCTTATGCCAATAATATAAATTAGAAATTGTTCGCATCTTCCATTTAGTTTGTAGATGTACATTGTTCATGTTTTACCTATCCACGTTTTTGGTGTCGATATTTTGTTATTTGCATTTAAAAATGACGTCAACAACAGGTTTTATCCCGGTTAAGTTTAGTTTTAAAGGTGCCTTCAGCCTACATCAACGCCATTTAAGTAATGTTCGTGAAATCGTTAACATGTGTTCAAATATGACAGGGGTTGGAGAAGCAACAATTTATAGATTCCTTAAAGAAAGAAAAGTAGGACTGTTTCATCTCCCAAGAAGAGTGAAGGGAGTAAACCCTTGGAAATTGAAGAAATACATAAAAACATGATAAGACGCAGCGTCCACTCATTTTTTTAACAAAGAATTTCCAACATTGGACAAAATCCAAACATTAATTAGAGAAAACGAAGAGTTACCAATCATAAGCAACAAGAAATTATGGGGACTATTGAGAGAGATGGGATTTCGTTGGCAAACGAATAGAAGAAAATCTGTTTTAATTGAAAAAGATTACATTGTATGTTGGAGACGAGATTATCTAAGAACTATTAAAAAGTACCGAGAAGGGAAAACAATTTTTTATTTGAACGAGACTTGGCTAAATGAAGGTCATACTGTACCATATCTATGGGTTAATACAAATGTGAAAAGTTCCCGTCAGGCATTCATCGAAGGTGTATCTATTGAAATAAACAATATTCCCGTTGGATAAGGACGCAGACTCATAATAACCCATATTGGAAACAAATACGCTTTTGCCTCAAAATCAATCAAAGATTACCACGAGAAAATGACTGCTGACGTTTTTGAAGAATATTTTGAGCAAATGTTGGATTTAATTCCAAAAAATTCTATCATAGTCATGGATAATGCTAGTTACCATTCAAGACTAGCGGAAAAATTGCCAACAACGGCATGGAAAAAAGGAGAGATAATCGAATGGTTGGATAAACACGCAATTGAGTACAAGGAGAATTCGACAAAAAAGGAATTATTACCTATTGTAAGGCAACATAAAGCAGCTTATAAAAAATATATAATTGATGAAATGACATTAAACCGTGATGTAATAATTATTTTACGTTTACCCCCATACCACTGTGATCCGAATCCGATAGAAAATATATGGTCTCAAGTAAAGGGTGAAGTCGGACGCAACAACAAAACTTTTAAATTAGAAGACTTCAACAATTATTAGAACATTCCTTATCAAAAGTAACTCCAGAAAATTGGAAAAATGCTGTTAGTCATGCTCACAAGGAAGAAAATAAAATGTGGAATTTGGATAATATGACTGATGCAATGCTGGAACCGGTAATAATTAATATTGGAGTTGAAGATTCCTTAGATTCTGAAGAAAGCAGTTAATCTGAAATGGAATTTAATGAAAATAATATTAATTTTTTTACAAATCGGCCCCTATTGCGGCCACAAATTATTTTACATAAAACCAATAAAATAAACATCTTACATTTCTTGCAAATTCATTAGTACCTGTTAATCTCCATCACTTCGACACTGGCAACTTTATTTAGGGACTAGTAACCCTCAAAACTATTGTATTCTATTCTGCTTCAACCTTTATACCTGGTGGTCATACTCAATTTAAAATTGTTTTCCTATATACTTCTGTAAACTTGTTGACAAATATCTGTGTTTCATTGAGTCACCCGAATCAACAGTTTAGGGTTTGCATACATAATGTGCTATCAATATGATGGAAATGGACTATAACGGCCTTGATATTTCACCTAGGTGAAGGAAGAAGAAGTTCAGACTCGAAAATTACTTCCAATCAAAATACTGTTGCATTTAGGTGGTTCGATAACAAGGTCGTAAATATGGCCTCAAATTTTATAGGCTTAGAGCCTACTGATACTGTCAAACGTTGGGATACAAAACAAAAACATATGTACAAGTTAAACGTCCAGCAGTAATTAAATTTTACAATCACAGTATGGACGGCGTGAATAAAAATGATTTCCTTGTATCACTTTATGGAACGTTTATTAAAAGTAAGAAGTGGACTCTACGGGTAATGTTTCACTATTTCAATGTGCCAGTGTGCAGCTCATGGATGGATTATTATCATGACAATCAAAATAAACCTAAAAAGAAGAAAATAGATTTATTGGAATTTACGTTTAATAAAAAATATTTTCAATTTTATTTAGGTGTCCAATTAAAGAAAATATCAACAAAAAATTTTTCCTTTGAAAAAAAAAATCAGGACTGAAAGGGTTAGGTGAAACATCTTGAAATTTTTAACGATGAATATTTGTGATATTATCTTTATTTTCACGTCAAATTAAAGTTTTTTATGCATTTTTAGAAAAGATATTAATAATTTTCAAAGATCGACTTTGATGTTATTTTTGCAATAAGTAAGTAAAAGATTAATAAAAGTTATTTTACAAATCCCCATTTTAAAGAATTTTCAATGCATTTTCAGTAAAATTGTGCCACTTTTCCATATAATTTATCGGTTTTCACCTTTCGTATTTAAAATCAAATAGCGATCTTATATTGGTTATTATATTGTTTATACGTAAAAATGAGATTTAATTGTTTGCATATTTTGTTTATATATTGTTAAATATTGTTATCACCAAATTTATCAAAAGCAGTTGCTAGATACATGTATCAAAGAGTTGTATGGACAAAGACGTGGACCAAAAAAACCAATAAATTCAAAAACATATGCAGAACAATAAATAGTACTATGGACAAGATAAGATAAGAAAAAAAAAATAAAATCGAAATGAATTTTCTATTGTAAATGTTATTAAATAATAGACCAGTATTTACATACAAAAGTGAACATATCTAGTATATCTGTCCCTTACTTTGTTTACAGGTGCACTTCGACGATGTGTCCCTTTACGGCACTCCGAAAGAGGAGCCCGGACCCACACCACTGGGCTCCGCAGAAGCGGGCAAACAAAGTTTTATCAAGAACCAACTGCAGGCCCTCTTTCAACCCACCGACAACAAGTTAGCTATGAAATTGTTCGGCTCAAAAAAGGCTTTAATGAAGGAACGGATCAGGCAAAAGGCTGCAGGTCATTGGGTCATACATCCTTGTTCCAGTTTTCGGTAAGTAACGTCATAATTATTTATTGTAGTGTTATTATTGATAGAAATTTTACCACTATTTACATTACCAGCATTCATAGTAGGTCATCGGCTAAAAAGTTCGTATTATTGTTTATATTCAGCCCTTATCATAGTCCCGGAGGAATCAGTTTTATATTTAAAAGGGTAAAACTAATGAAAATGTTAGTTTTAAAATTTTAAAGACGACAATATATCCTATATGCATAATTTTAATTATTAAAAGCTACATTTACTCATGCCTTAAATTTTAAAATAGTTTTTATCGCTTCCCGAAAAAACTCAAATTTGGACTTGAGACTTCTTCAACCATCACACTCTCCTTCTTCCTATACTGCTTCCTCCTCTTTTCTTTCCCTGTATTATCAGCCTTAACAGTTCGTATAGCTGTCCCCTAATTACGTGTCCCAGATATTGTAACTTTCTTATTTTTATTGTGTTTATTATTTTGCATTCTTTGCCCATTTCTCGCAATACTTCCGTGTTAGTTTTCTTCTAATAGAAGGAAAAATAGAAGGAAAACGGAATCCAGGCCGTAGAAGAATGGTTGCGGAATTTGAGAGAGTGGTTTGGCTGCACCACTAATGAACTCTTTAGGTCAGCCGTAAACAAGGTCAGAATAGCCTTGATGATTTCCAATCTCCGATAGGAGTGGCACAAAAAGAAGAAGAAGTTTTCTTCTGTGTCCATGCTATTCTAAGGATTCTCCTGTAACACCACATTTTAAAGGACTGTAAGTTATTTATGTGTTCTTGCTTCAATGTCCAGCTTTCAAGTCCATATTGCAGTATCCAAAACTCGTAGTATCTCAGTGCTCTTACTCTTAGTTCTAATCTAAGATCTTTGTTGCAGAGAATTGTTTTCATTTTCACAAACGCATTTCTTGCTATTTTCAGGTTCCTAGGTATTTGTATTTATCAACCCTTTCTATCGGTACATTTCCCAAATGTATGTTTGTTGGTATATTTGTTTTCTTTGTTATTATCATGTATTTGGTCTTTTTATATTAATTTTTAGTCCATATTTTTAACAGAAACTGTTTGTTTTGTTTAGTAGTAATTTCAGTTGTTCAGCAGAGCTTGCCATAATCACGGTGTCATCTACATATCTTAAGTTATTAATAGATCTTTCGTTAATTATTATTCCTTCACTTTAAGATAGTAATGCTTCTTCAAAAATGGCTTCACTATATACATTAAATAGTAATGGGGACATAATACATCTCTGCCTAACTCCTCTCCTGGTTTCAATTTCTGGACTGGGTTCGTTATCTATTACGATGTATGCTTTTTGATTCCAGTAGAGATTTTTTATCATTCGTAAGTCCCTGGGTCTATGTTTTTTGTCTTTAGACATGATTTAATAATGAAGTAAAAATAGAAATTTAAAACAGAATAATCTTCAATTCCGTGTTCATATTGTAAGAAAATTTTTGTATACAAAGTTCTGTGGCAAGTTGATTTGATTTCGTGCCATTTCCTCTTCACATACGACTTCCCTTTGGTATTTGAAACTTACGTAGTAATTCATTCCACATCAAATTTAAAACGAAATTCAATTATTTTCACGGATAAAGGTTGAATGCGAGACACTGCACTATATTGAATCTAACATAATTATAAATCCAGAGCATTTCTAACCGGTCCAGCATGCCGTAAATTTGAATATTTTATGCAGAAAAGCGGATTCGCGGTATTTTCCTCTTCATTTATACATTCACATTCACGTCGGTTTTTGTGGGCCAAGGTAACCTCAGTTCAAGGGCGGCGCAAACTACTTCTGTCTGGCGGTTATACGTAGCTGCATCATATATTTTTATTACTCTTTTTCAAGGGTTAAACCTGTAAAGCATGTTCATAGTCATAAAGCGGTCAGAGCGTATGTACTAATAAAAACAGAACTACGTTTGTACTAATACTTTACTCGATGGAAAATAAGTTTGTTAAATATTAATGAACAACTACTCGTATAGTGAGGTAGCTTATTTATTTATTTATAAGCTGTACATTTTTAAAGAAATTGTAGCTGTTCTAAGGAACTTTCCAAGTCCGTTAGCCGTTGCCGTCGAAACTTAACCTACTGATTTTTCCTTTTGTTACATCTGCTTGCAGGTCCTGACAATATCTGGGCTTTTCAACAACTTGCTTCTATTAGTATCTCCAGTCTCTGTCCAATTCTTTATTTACAGTGTTTTTAAAAAGTTGGGTGTTGGGAAAGAAAAGAGGGAATAAGAATTGGTGGAGAAATCATAAACACCATGAGATTTGCAGATGACACGGTAATTATGGCTGAGAGTATAGAAGATCTACAAACTTTACTAGATGCAATAAATAGTGAATGCATTCAAATGGGACTTAACATCAACACAGATAAGACCAAATTTATGATAGTATCAAGGAGTCCAAAAAATAATGAACAACTAACTCTTGGTGAACACCAAATAGAGAGAGTGACAAAATATAAATATCTGGGAGCTTACATCAACACAGAATTAGATCCAGACCAAGAGATCCGGGTACGAATAGAAATGGCAAGGGCAGCGTTCTTAAAATTCAAACAATTGTTCTGTGACAAAAATCTGAATATTGCGCTGAGACTGAGGTTTGTTGAATGTTACGTCTGGTCGCAATTATTGTACGGGGTAGAAACATGGACACTAAAAGCGCAAATAGTTAAAAAGATTGAAGCCTTTGAACTTTGGATATACCGGAGAATGTTGAGAATCCCATGGACTGCCAGGGTCACCAATGAGGAAGTGCTGAAAAGAATGGGTCGAGTCAAAAAATTGTTGAGAACGATAAAAGTACGCAAGACTGCATACCTTGGACACATACTAAAAAATAATAAATATAGTCTTCTGCCGGTCATCATGCAGGGTAGAGTCGATGGCAAAAAGGGAATAGGTAGAAAGAGGAAGTCATGGCTGCGAAATATTCGAGACTGGACAAACATGACTGTAGACGAATTATTCTACGTTGCAAAATACAGAGAAGCTTTTAAAAATGTGGTCGCCAACCTCCGTTAATGGGGACGGCATAGGAAGAAGTAGAAGTGTTTTTAAATATCTTTTAATTTGGTACTGCCGACTTATATTGGGTCTCCCTTTTTTAATTTTTTTCTGGTGTCCACTCCGTTAATATTCTTTGAGGTACATTTTTTGCTTTTCCAAATATATGTCCGTACCAGCTTTCTTTTCGTCTTTTATGAGAGGGGAGTGGTCCAAATATTGTAAACATACCTCGGTCCTAAAAGGTGGGAAGAACCACCTTCTAGCTTCGGTTATGCAGGATTCGAGACCGCAGATCGCAGGGATTGTTCGGTCACTGTCGTCGTCAACCTACCTAGGTAGGCCGGAGACCTACCTGTTAAAAAAACATCCTCCTCAACCGTAAATTAACTTCTGGGCCGCCCTGATTGGAACGCAATATTGGCACGGCATTCACTCTCTTACACACTCTTTTATACCACAACTTTTCTCTCTGACAGATAGTCCCAGACCAAATTATTTAAGTAACTTCTACGCTTTCTCTTTCGTAAAGCCTTTGTTACCTCTTTTTATTTTAAATTATTAAAATCATTCTGGACGTCAAACAAGAGTAGGATCACTTACCTCTGGCTAACCCCGCATTTCATCACCGCATCCACCGTGCTTCTGTTCTTTTTGAAACCGTAATGCTTGGCTGACAGCCCACCTAACTCTTCAATGGCTGTGTATATTCCTCCTCTTAGAATTCTCTCTTATAATTTACGTATGCAAGACAGAAAGCAAACAGGTCGATACTTATCTTCCCCCTTTGGGAGTAGCACGAGCCTAGAGATTTTCCAATTTGCCGGAAATCGTTGAGTTTTAAACAGTGCATTCATGTGTTCCCAAAACTAAGTCGGCTCCATACTGGAAATGTATTTTAGCACTACTGGTGGTATTCCGTCGAGTCCTAGAGACTTTCATGTCTTTAGATCACGTCGCTTCGTTGAATTCGTCTATGGTAAAAGGTACAACTTGGGCAGCTTCGGCATCTGACTGTAATCCAGTAACTTCAAGCTTTCTGTCTTGAGGTTCTCTACATTACCTCTTTTTCTCAGCTCGGATCTTCTGTTCAGCTCTTTCTTTCGCGCTTTGTTTACGATATCCATTCTGCTATTTTCGTTTACTGCTCCTCTACCTCTTGCTCGTATAGCCCGTCTTCAGATGGCAATACATTTCTTCCTCTTATAAGCGATCTCTTCGCACCATCAGTAAGGCGTTTTCTTTTTTACATCTATCCTCTTTATGCAATTCCTCATATCCTCTTATCATTGATTCTGGTCCTTCTGCCGATGACGGTTTTCATCTTCTTCTCTCTATTATCCATAGAGTACTCATCATTGTCCATATCACCTTATTCTCTGTGATTTTATTGTTCTTACAATAAAATGAATTGAAAATAAAAGCATTTTAAAATTGTGTAAAATATTTAGTTCCTCACTGAACGCTTGTGGCTCACAAAGCCATCTTTAGAATTATGGTCAAATGGTCAAAATTTAAAAAGTTCCACTGCAAAAGGAGAATCGCATTTGTAAAAAAACAACATGTTTTCTTCAAAAGTTAGAAAACTTTGATAGTTTACAAAAAAAAACATCAAAAATACGGCACATATTGATATCGTCAGTGTTACCATTACAATCGCAGAGTTCTATTTCCCTTAAATTAAATCTATGAAGATAGTCTTCCACAGTAGCATCATTAATAAGGCATCTAACAAACATTAAATATACTCCTCTATTAGAATGACTTCTTGCAGCAAAAGGCGCGGTAGGTAAAACAGGGTAAATTTTTGTGTATAGATTATTACTTCTGTAACAGAAAGCATTCCATTCAATTTCCCAGTTTTTTTTAAATTCTTGTTTACGCAGCAAAACTAAATCACTTTTACTGAGACAACTAACTTCTAATCCTTTTAAGGCCGCTTCTTTAGCAAAATAATCTGCTTTGGTGTTACCGAGATA